AAATTAAATTTTACGGTTTTTAAAATCCTAAAATTTCATATTTTTCAATTTAAAAAGCAAAAAAAGAAAATTTTAAAAAAAGCTCTCGTGAGGGACTCCGGAATTCGATTCTGAACAACTTTTGTATGAAGAATTTTGTTTCAAAATGCCTGCTTCGAGCGAAACTAGCCGTAAGGCTTTTTTCAAAATATTTTTAGCTCTAAAATTTCCTCGGGAACGTGAAAGTTAAATTTTTCCGTCAAACTTCATTTGGGAACGATGTAAAGTTTTTCTCCTCATACAAGTTAATGTTCTCTATCGAACTACGCTAGAATCAACTCTTCATGTAAAAAAATGAAGTTTTTATTGAAATTTTAAAAATAGGGCAAAAAACCCGAAAAAAACTTAAAAATTTTTTTTATTAAAAGCTATAAATCCGGGAACTGAAAGCTTTGTTGAAACGTATACTTCGAAGTGTCCTCCACAAACTGCTGGAAAAAATCGGGTGGCTAATGAGGCTAATGCATTCATTATTCCATAATAGTTTTGTACCTTGATCTTATCTGAACCAAACAGCTTTTATCTTTGTAAACGCGTTTTCCCCTGATTTGCAAAACAGTCTAAAGTCTTGTTTTGCATAACTTCTGCAAAAATTATATCGATTAGTTCGGCACTTCGTATAGCGAATGCCTTTTCTTGGTTCTATCTATATTCACTGTATCAACGTTTTACTGCACATGGTTAATCGAAGCCAATCTAATATCTTGTGCCTCTCTTGTCAGTCTAATCCCACCAGCAGAGTCGTTCTGTCTCTGTATAACAGTGTTGAATATGAACCATTCAGGAGCTATGACAGGCTCTTGCAAAGGTGAGACAGGAAACGCAATGTCAGCATAAGTCCCAGATTGATGCAGTACTGCTGGTTGACATAAGAACGTATTGAAGTGATTGAACGATGGCTTGCGGGAAGTAGAGAATGAGAAATAGGAAGACCAGCTTCAATGTCCAGATCAGTCGGCAACGGACTAAGGCTGACGACGGCCATGATTCTGAAAAGTCCATTTTGCGTATGTGTTTCACATTTTCCAGTCTATCACAGGTTGGCCGACAGACAAAAGCCCCGCATCAATGCATTGTATATCTCCCGTCTCAAGGAAGGTGTGCGGGAGTGCATGGGACACAGAACCCGTCTGAACCTTTACAAGGTAACAGGTATAGCCAGATCCACAACGCAAAGACTAGACATTGTTCTACTCTCTCAAAAACTGGAGACACAGGGGACTTGAGGGTTCGTCAATTACACTTCGACATATGCGTTCAAGTCGAGAAAGCGAGGTATCCCAAGAAGCCAGTTTTAGAATCAAGTGTGTTTCAAAGATCCTGAGGTCTTTATTATTATCTTATATTATTAATTAAAAATAGCGCATCTTGTAAGAATTATTCGTTCTACAAGGTAGCATATTGAAATTTTTCGTATTCGGTTATCAGTATGCAGAAGATGCAAAAGTCTCTCACTCTTTTATGCTCAGTTTTGATTAATTTATTTTTTCCGACCATTAAACCACTTTGTACCACGTTTTGTTACTCTACTGATCTATGTATAATTGAAAATTTCAAAATACAAGAAACAGAATGAAAAAGTTAACATACGGTGAAGTCGTTCTCTATGAAAATTTCAACATTGTTTCCTGATCCTGAAGCCGTTTATGAGCTTTAAAATCTAGAAATTTGTATTTATACGTAACTTGGTGATTAATGTTGAGATTAAGCTTTGTTTTCAAAAAAAAGTACTGCTTTTCCTTGGAGTTATCGGGTTCTTAAAATAAAGGCTTTCAGTTTTTTACCGATTTCCTTAACTTCACATTTGACACATTATTTAAGGCAGAAGTTAAATTAAAATTACAAAAAGTTTGTTAATAATCACAGTAAGTGTACACCGTCATTTATTCTGTATACATTTGATAGTTTTCTTGTTTAGCGTCTGACAGGGTTTCTATATTGTGTAAACCCTGCGACAAAACAGACCGACACCCTAAAATCAAGGGAGAAAGGTGACTTTTTCCTTTCTTAGCATCGGAGAGCATTGAATGCTGAGCATCTCAAGCTGCAGAAAGTATTTGAAGCGCTCCGAAAAGTTCTTGGAGCCACCTTTTCCCCTTGCCCTAAATACTTTGATATGCGGGACGAATTAGAACGATATGTCGCTCTCCATGCAGATTCAGAAATACTCAAGTCAGAGGTATTTCCAGTCATCAGCCTAGCCAAGTCTTTTGACTAGTTATTAAGTCTGGGAAATCAAGTCTCATGCTATACTGAGTGGACTGAAATCAAGTCATAAGCCAAATGCAGGTTATTTGGGACTTGGCTGAAGTCGAAAAATTAGTTGCTTGTCAAGCTTTATCATCTGTAGACGACTTTTCTGTGTTATCGAATTTGACTAATTTCTGTCTGTGGGCTACAGAAAAAAACTGCATAGCTTTTTTCTCTCTGCATCAGTCGACAGTTTCGGTCATCTCTTTGAATATTTTCTATCTAGTGATTTTCTATTTTTCTTCCTTATGATTGGCTTATCCATGGGATATCTAACAGTCATTTTTCCGTATTTTGCGGACATACACAGTCAGCTATTTTGTAAGATCCTATACTAAAGTCAAGAGAATAAGGATCTATCGAAACTAAAATACAAGATCAGTGACCGTTTTATGAATAACTGTTGAATGAATTTTGCACCTGAACGCTAGGTGCAAAGTTTCTCCGTGAATCTGAGAGCGAGTTTCTTTTAATTTCATTTTGGCTTCTTCTTTGGCATCGACATCATCTACGTGATTTTTCCCTAAATTTTATTTTTGTCAATGGTTGAAAAAAAGGCGTCCGTGACAAAAATAAAATAACTTCTTTTTCTCAACAAAACGACAAAACAATTGGTTTATAGGGAATCACATTTAAAATAAGAAAAACGTTTAATTATTGTGCCACTCATCTTAGGGTTCCAAAAAATACTACATGCTTTCCTGTTTAACTCTTGCTTCTTTATCTATGTCAAATTATGCCGCATAAAAATATCGCTTCACAGAGAAGATGCAGGATTCAAGGGCTGATTTATTACAAAATCAGGTGCTCGCGTGAGACCACCGCCTGCAGCTCCATACTGCACGTGAATTCCAGGAAAAGGTTCAATCCAACGAATCTCTCCATTTCGACTCACTTGTCGATTGCAACCATACACGCTGATAGGTTCGATTTTACATTGATTACCGAATGTATTTCTAACGGCTGCGACTAAACCAAGCGCCATGGTCCCATCATAGTTAGCAGTGCTTTCATCAGATACATTAGGTGTAATACAGGCGCCTGCTGTAAATCTCATCAAATATAGATCGTATGGCTTTTCATCATCACCTTTAATAGAGACTGGATTTTCTGATAATTTTGTTGCATGGTTTGTTCCACCGCAAACTAATACTGATGGAAGTTGATAGCCGTGTGGTACATATACATGTGCTAATACAGATATTCCTCTGGCTGAGACAACATCAAATAATGGTTTATTATTTTGGCTTATAATTGGCTGACTGCCTAAAGATAGAATTAAACGAGAAAAAGGAAGTAAATTTTTTTGACCATCTGGAGTTTGATATTCAGCAATTCCTCCAACTTTTTGATTATCTGCATACACACTAGTAAGTGTTCCATCAATTACTTTTCCACCTTGTTTATGAATATATTCGCTTAATATTCTCATGAAATTAGAAGACAACACTCTGTCATGTAGTTTTTCTCCATACATAAGACCATTTGGAAGAAAACCATAGCGATTTTTCATTTCTTCTTTTGATATAATTTTTAAAGTTCTTCCTTCTATTGTCAAGGCTTCTTTTAATGTATTCAATTCTGAAACTTCTTCACTGTTACGTGCAACAATAATCGATCCTTTTTCCCGCATTAAAAGTTTACCATCTAGTTCTTGATCTAATTTCTCGTAAAATTTTTCATTTGTCTGACATTGTGCAGCAACTTTTTTCAACATAGTTATTCGATCATCAAACATGGCCACTAATTGAAAAGCTAATGTAACCTTTAATCCTAAAAGCCAATGATCAGGATGACGAATCCATCCAATCCAGTCAATTGTTCTCCAAGGAAAAAGTCCTGTTTGTTCAACTGATGCATGACTTATATATCTAACAGTTGCACGTGTAATTTGATTCCCTAAGAACTTAGTAGGCCTATAACTTGTAGGTGCTTCTGTTTCAGCATCTTGCTCGAGATGCCAAGCAGAACCAAAAGCAATGGGTATTCTTCGCTCATCGTTGATATAAGTTAAACATTTATCTTTTTTCACCATCGATACACCGGTGATTAATGCTGGTGGTCCTCCTACGACAAGTGTATCCGCATTGTGAAACGATGGTAGTGGTGTCATTGGACATTCTGATAGTGATTTGATTTTTACCGGAGTTTTTAAAGCATGTTTTTGCTTCAATGTATCAAGTTCCGTAGGAAATAAATGGGAATATTGTAAAAAGTGCTTTTGAAAAAGTACTAGCTGATCTTGATTAGTAGTAATGAATGGCTCATGCATTCCCGAGAAAGGATGTTTTTTCCGTTGTTGACGTGTATGATGCGAAAAAGCATCATGTCCTTGAATATTATCACGATATCGAGACGTAACATTTATAATAGTGAAAGTTGTTACACCGAATAATCCAACGTAACATAATGACCTACGCCATGATCGATGAATTCGACGAATATTTGACATAAACTATTTTTCTTTCGCTGAGTCTTTTGATTTCTGATATTAAATTAATTATAAAATTCTTTTATTATCTAAAAGTAAAATAGTTTTTGTATCGTGAAAAGCTATTATAGCAGAAATTATGATACAAACTTTCTCTTTCGAATGATCTTCTTCATATTAACGAATGTTTCGCTTCAAAAGAATAGAGTCAACATCTTCTAACCAGCTGACATAGGGAATTTTGTGTGGCTAACGACAAAAAGTCCTCAAGTGTGCAACCGCTTTTTGCTTGAACTCTAGTGGACAATAGGTAATCGTCTGCGCTAAATCCGAATCTGATGCCGGTTTATGCTGTCAGGGCTCCATAGAACGGACTTCTGGAAAACCAGGTCTTCAGAAACTCTAAAAAGTAACCAAAACCTTTTTTCAATGAAGCATGATGGTAGACCGCACATTTCTGATTAAAATGAGATATCTCCCAGCTCTACACACCCTTTCTTTGCAAAGTTATAGAATTTACACGAAAAGCCCTAATTGTTTATTGTGAGCTCAAAGCGACAGGAATAAAAAGAAATTAATTTAGGGCTTTTCTTGTAAATTCTATAACTTTGCAAAGAAAGGGCGTGTAGAGCTGGGAGATATCTCATTTTAATCAGAAATTTGCGATCTACCATCATGCCACATCAAAAAAGGCTTTGGTTATTTTTTACAGTTCTTGAAAAACGAGTTTTTCAGAAAACTGGGCCTTGAAGAGTCATGTGCACGAATCCTTTTAGGATATTTACTATCTCACTGAGGTCGATCGATCCATGTACAAATCATTAGCAGCGGAAGAAGACATCTGAAAAGAACCTGGTTTCCAGGAAACCCGGTCTCTGGAGGCCTAGCAGCACAAATCGATATCAGATTCGGATTTAGCGCAGTCGATTATCTATTATCCACTAGAGTTCAAGCAACAAGCGATTGCCCACTTAGGGACCTTTCCTCGCAAATAAAGCTTTTTCACGAAAATTAAATAATTTCTTAACCCAAACCTTTTTAGAATTTAAAAAGTTTTTCTTTTAAATGACCAAAGAAATTTGATTCTTGTTATAAGACCTTAACTGTCTGCAAATTTTTTCGTTGTCTTTCTCGTTGTCTTTTCTTTTTCATCGAATGAGCGTATGTATCTCTTATCTAAGTCTCTCAAATATGTAATTCACTCGTTTTATTCACTCTCTTTTTCTCCATTCTCGCTGTTTTTTTGTTTAACCTATAAAACAAATATTCATCCTTGCTAGCATCATGTAGATTTCAACTGTTTGTTATCATTAGACAGGCATTTTTATTCGTTTTTCTCGTTATGCCATGGTTATGTTTGTTGAAAGCATCTTTTAAGTTACTGTATTTGTTATTGTTATTTTATACTGCGTTTTATACTTCATATAGATGTAAGCTTAACGCTCAGGTTTATTGAGTTTCTTCGACAACTTGACCAAAGATTAGTTAGAATTCTGACTAATGAAACAGTCTAAATGGAAACAGTGATGAGCAATCTTGTATCGGTTTAAAGTTAAATTACCTTTTATTTTTCAGAAACGAGTTATTGAACAAGATAAACATATTTTTAAGTGAAATGGACATAATCCAAAATTGGAGTGGAACGTTTTTCGACTGTATGATACATATTCTGATTTGTCGTTTGACGATGATCACGAATATCACCTTCCTAGCCGCGAAAATCCTTTTTTTCGTAAGAAAAATTAGAAATATTGAAAGAGTCTCATAAACCCGAAAATCCTTCGTTACAGAAAAACTCGAATTTTTTCGACTTCATTTAACTTTAGATCTTTAAACTTCCATTTTCTTGATTCCATAGTCAGAACTGGACAAGAAACTAGTCTTCAGAAAATTTTAAAACTAAACGTCTACTCAGCAAGGACGTCCGAACGCATGCCTCTTAAAACCGGTGCATAATTTTGCAGACCTAACACACGTTTCTGGAGGAGTTGGAACCAGTATTTATAGCTTTTTTATACAATAAAAATACCATATTCAGAGTCACTAACAAAAACTGAGTCGAATGATATGTATTTCAAAACTTTTCATTGATTTGCATTTTTTCGTGAAATCTCAGTAATTTTACGCCGTGAAAATTCGAAAAAAATGCAAATCAACGAATATATGTCATTCGACTCAGTTTTTGTTATCGATTCTGAATATAGTATTTTCGGATTTTTGAAACTCTTTCAATATTTCTAATTTTTCTCACGAAGAAAAGGATTTTCCAGGCTAGGAACGTAATATTCGTGATCACCGTGAAATGACAAATCATAAAGTCGAAAAAAAGTTTCACTCGAACTTTGAATTATGTGCATCTTAAATAGTCAGATATTAAAACGCGTTTATAGGAAACAAATTGTTACTGCAATATGTTTAAATAGCTTTTAATAAACAGGTATAAATTAGGTATTTTTTCCAACGCGCTTAACGACGTTTTTAAATTAAAAACATTTATTAGTCCTTGATAGTTGTTCTCATTTTTGGACTTCATGGCTGCTCAGGGGTCCGGTTCGACCCACACGTGAACGTATGGGAAAAGTTCAAGATTTTTAAAGTTTGATTGAAGCTTGCTTTTCATGCACGGATCAATGGTCTACATCATGCTCCTTCTAGGCGTGAATATGCTGATTAGGGATGCAACGGTAACGGTAACCGCACCTTACCGATTACCGTTATCGGTCCAACCGCACCTTACCTGTTACCGTTACCGGTCCAACCGGTTCTTACCGGTAGCAATAAACTTGAAAAACAAATGGAATATTTGCTACATAATTCAAAACACAAAATAAATGTTTCTTTAATCACAGTT